AAGATCCAATAGGTGCGCTTCTAGCTAATGCCAACAATCGACTGAATACTACCGGCAGTCCCATAAACAATAACAACGGCCATGAGAAATCTCAGACAATGGAGGAAGTGATCAAGGAAGCGGAGAAAAAACTTAGCGAGAAGCGTATTAAGTACAATCGGCCCGATAACATGGACGAACTCAGTTACGATCAATTATTAGACGAAAAGACGGCCGTGCAGAAAGCATTGCTTCACATTGAGAACACTTTCGGCAGGCCAGTTTCTAAGGAAGACAGAGCAGTTGTTCGACCATTATACGACCGGTATAGGACCTTAAAGAGATTGCTCATTAGAGCAGGCGCGGTAAGAATAATTAATTGTTGTTAACTAAATATAATTTAAAATAAATTTTTGGAAAAAAATGACAATGTGTTCTGTACATGTTGTAGAGCAAAAATAAGGACAGCGTTACCGAACTGGCCACGATCCTAGAGCACGAAACGATGGATTTTACATCATCGAATCTTCCAGGAAATCCTGTAGAGACTGATAGAAGAGCCAGCGAGCCTGATATGTCACATCGAGGCATCTTGGACTGTATCGATCCCGTAGATCAGTTGCCAACTGATAGCGATAGTCAGAATAGCAGTAGCGATGCCGGCGAAGGTCTTCACGCTCTTCCTCAGTAAGTTTAGATTAAAATTGTATATAATACGAAATTGTTATATATATATAGATATGTAACAAAATATTAAATTAACACCTTCAATATATACTTTTTTAGGCTCTGCTTATTTATAATTCTAACTCTTCTCTGTAATTTAAGTCTTTTGACACATTTGAAAATTTATTCTGAAATTTTTCCGAAATAAAAAAGGAATTCGATTTCCCCTGTTAAAGTATTTTGTTAAAAACTATTTGATAATGTAATAGAAATGTGTTGAAAAGTAATTCTGAATTTTTTCACATTTGAAAATCTATAACAAAATAATAGATTGCAAATTGGGAGAAAAATAAGATTATAGACGCAGGATTAATTATATACTTATGCTCTCAAAAAAGATTTATAAAATAAAACCATTAGAAATGATTTCTAATAAAAAAACATCTAATTAAAGCGTATTTGTTAACAATTTTCGTTAAACATTATCTCCTTTTTTTTATAGAGAAGAATTACTGATACAACAACGAGCTACTCGAGAAGAGAAGAAGCGGCTTCGTAGAGCGTTGAAAGAATTAGAAGCACAATTTGAAGCTCGGGCTGGTCGCCGTATGCAACGTGAGGATCGTGGACCGCAAGTCACTACCGTGTATGAATCATATAAGCAGGCGAAAGCGAAATTGAGACTGATTGATGCCCTCATAGCTAAAAAAGCTTGACGTAGTATTTAATTCACGAGTAATGAAGAACTGATTTGAAACAAAATTGTTGAAACTTTAAATGATTTTTAATGTCTGTAAGAAGATACAGCTGTCGCAGGCACATTCATCTATCTGCAATTTTAGCATTGTGCGGTCGTGATTAAAAAGGCCTGAAGAGAAGCAATATCCGCCTGAACGAAAAATACTATTATAACGCAACGAGAATTTATCATATAAAATCAAAAAATTTCGAGAACAAAAATATGAAAGTGAATAATACATTCTAATATAGGATTTATTTCGCTTTCATAAAATCATGTGCATGCCGTATATCCTCTTATACGGTTTTCTTTCGATCGTAGATTCCGTTACGACGCTGGGAAAATAATACCGAATGTTTTTAATGTTTAAAGTAACGTATCTTTTTTATAACATCGTTTTTGATCAACGTAATCAATATATCGAAAGTGCGCAACTTATAGTGAGCAATAGTATATCTACAGAATAAAAGCATGGTATCATGATAGTACATTTGAATTTTAAGCGCTAATTCTACAACTTAAACTGATTATTATGACGTAAAATAAAATAATTGTTCGATGATATCATCGCGTACATCTTGTTCATTTTGTATTTAACATATTCGTTTGCAATGGAAGATTTCCATTTGATTGTCCTCCATTCATTTCATTGTATATGCAGCATTAATAATACATTTTTTACTCTAACAAGAAATTGGATG